AAATCACAAAATGTTGATTGAGTCAGTGAATTAATTGGTTCGACTGTTAAATCTCATCGTGTGCATTTTACTCAGAAATATTATTGGAGTCTGTTATCAACTCACCATATTACTCACCAAACTTTATTTTATTACTTAAATACTAAAATTATTTACTGCGAGATAGTGGATGAGCACTTCTGAGTAGATCCATACTAGGACGAAACGGTTGTCCAGTGACTCTAGGTTTTCTGTGGTAGCCTAGCTTAAGTTCACTTATTAAATTACTATAATCTCCATAGACCCTCATTCTGACAAAACTTTATTTTGGTTCAATCCAATAGGTAAATTGAAATTGAAATAAACACTTGTCAGACAAATATTTCAGATAAACTATTACTCCAGTAACATCATTATATTACTAAAATTTTCTTCTAGTCTTATAAATATTTAGATGTTCCAGAGATTGGATTTTCAAGTGTATATAAATCACAAAATTTCCATTCCTAAATCGACCAGACTTTTTTATTTTTTTGCTGAAATGAAATCTTCTTTTATAATTTATGTAAACAAGACTTCCGATGTCCTTTACTACTTAATGAATCAGTTGAATTAGTGCGGTATATTTCTCTCTTTTATTGCACTATAATACTAGACCTTGACAATTCGAGAATAGTTATTTTATTTTTTTGTAATAACTTTTAAGCGAGACAAGAACTGACTTAAGTTAGACAGTTGTTGTAAACAATTATTTCATTGTACTATGGAACCCTTCAGCTGTGCTCACCAAATAACCGATTTGAAATTGAACTCAGGTCCTTCAATATTGAAACCGAGAGCTAAACCTCCAGATGACAAGGCCAGTATCCAGTGGTCTAAGTATATAATCACAATCATTTTGTAATATAGTGTTCGTAATCTGTATATAACAAAGTTTCTTTTTCGTGTATTGGGAAATACCTTGTTTCAGTTTTAAAAAGTAACAACATATCAGTATATTACATAGGTATTTAGAAGTACTAATTAAATTCCAGTTTTGGGGAATTTATCTTTATTAAAAGAAATAAATGTGAATGTTGTATAAATATGATGAGTTCGTATCGTTTAGCTTACATGATATCATATCAACATTATATTAAAGAAATAAGAGAGTCATTAGTTGTCTCCGTATTGACATGTGACCGAGATTTAGCATATTCCATGAATAACTTATAATCTCTATGTGTCATTTGTATATTACATAAATGGAAGAAGTCACCTGAAAAATACTTAGATAATAAACAAATTAAAGAGAAATGTATCGTGAGATTAGGCAAGTGTATTTGAATGAAGTGAGAGTTCAAGTTGATGCAATCATATAAACAAAGCAAATAGTTTATTGAGTTGAAAGAAATGGTTTAATCCAAATTGTTTGGAAATCTTACAGCATTCTAGTGTCACGGAGTTTTATTCTCTGAGCTCGATGGTTTAGTTGTGCAGCTTTTATCGTTTTTCTGAACGGTATCATCAGCACAAAGTTCGGGTAGAAGTGAAGTGTTCAAATTCCTCTACATGTGGTTCACAGCATGTCCTGCACACCTCGATGTTGACTGGTTCTTGTTGACCTTAAACCCGTCATTATTTACTTGTTTGTTTTGGTTGTATCTTTGGTTGTAACATTAGACTCTTGTGTCAATCGAAACATTAAATAATTGCTACGTTATTATGAAAACCTTTAGTACCCATTAAGTCTATTATGTATATTCATCTCTGTTCTTTAGTGTTTTACATTTATCCTTCCTAAAATGGGTTATTAATTTATGAGGAAAGAAGTAGATTCAACACTAGGCGAACTAACTTTTAAAATAGAAATGAGTAATAAAATTTCTATCGTAAAAGAGTTTCACTTTCTTTAAAATTATAATTCATTCGAAAACATGTTAACTTTTGTTTTACAGTTCATAGTTGACTAGAAGAAAATCTGACGTCCTTCTGTATTATATTGCCTATTTACCAGTCAATGTATAGAGTGATAGAAATTGAGAAGTGATAATTTAGTTTGTAAATGTTTACGTTATCACGTTGAGGATATTCATGACCGAATTTAAATTTTTTTAGCTGGCATATTTGCATCTTCAGAGGATTCTCAAGACATATTTATTTTCACAGATTTAAATCATGAGTCAGTTGAAGCTAGACCACCATTGAAAACCTGGCAGCACTGAACGGCCGTTTCGTCCTAGTGTGGGACTCCTCAGCAGTGCGCATCCACGATCCCGCACCACACGGGCCTCGAACCTACTGGCTTCGCGCGCGAGCACTTAACCATTAGACTACTGAGCCAGCATCCAACGGTGTTAATGTCTAACTTCAACCAATCCACGAAGTCGCACCACCGTACACCATTGTCTTCAGTGAGCTGATATCTCACAACAGACCTGGTTGAACTCCACTGGTAACGGCTTCCCACTAGAACTCCAGGAGTATCTCTTGAAGTCAGTCACTAGTGAGCAGATGATTATTATCAGAGTTGTGTTCCACCGCTGGTCACAGTTCATCCCTTCCATAAATAAATAAATATGTCAGAAGGGGTTTGTGGAGATTTTAGAGATTTTTACAGATTTAAATCACTAGGACGAAACGGCCGTCCAGTGCTTACAGGTTTTCAATGGTGGTCTAGCTTCAACTGACTCATGATTAAAATCTGTGAAAATTTCTAAAATCTCCACAAACCCCTTCTGACATATTTATTTATTTATGGAAGAGATGAACTGTGACCAGCGGTGGAACACAACTCGAGTCAACAATACTAACTATGAAATGACATTTACACATAACTTAAAAATTCATGTCCACGCCATAAATAAATGACTGTTTGGACTTAGTAGCTTAGTAGATAACGTGATGGTCATGTGAACTGTGAGTTATCGGGTACTGTGAGGATTAGGACATAGACAAATATATTGAGTTGATGAGTTCCAACCAAGGCAAAAGGCTGTTGGTAGTTATGATTCATATCTTTCATGATTATATTGATAACATTAATAGGAATAATAATGTTTTCACTATTAGATTCATTTTTACTTTCTAATTTGTTATTTATTATCCAGCTATTAGTTTTTTTTTCCTCAAGTGAACTTCAAATGTAGAAAAAAAAACAATCATTTTTTTAAAAGAGAAAAAATTACTGTATGAATGTTTGATTAAACTAATAGTTTACTGTTTATTTGCTGTAGATTTTCTCATGCGTTTATTTCGTGACCCAGTAATGCATGACTTAATCAGATTATCAGACATAGAATTGAGAACATAATAACAGTAATAATAATTATAATAGTCAATAAGATATAATGAACTTCTAATCTTTGATAACATTTTGTTTTATATTTACACATTTGATTTTCTTTCACTTTTAAAGGTAAAGTAAAGGACATTTATGACTTTACTTAATGATAATAAGTTATGATTTATCAGTTATCAATTACTATAGAATTATAGTTACATTAATCAATTGTAAACTTCAAAGTGTATATAAAAGAGATATCTGATGTTATAAGCATTCAGTCGACTTGTTAAACAAATCGATTATTTTTGTTAATGTCATAATAATGAAAAATTCGGATTTTTTTTAGTAGCTCATTTAACAATATAATTGTTCAAAGTATGGGGTTGTGTAGATTATTAAGCTTCGATTGAGATCATGAACCGACTGGTGCTGGTCCATCATTGAAACTTGGAAGCACTAGATATCCGTTTCATCCTATTTTGTGACTCGTGAGCAGTTCGTATCCACGATCCCACTAGCGCGATTCAAACCTAGTGCTTTCGGTCTAGCGCGCGAACGCTTAGCCTCTAGACCACTGAGTCGACATCGAACAGTGTTAATGTTTAGCCTCAACCAATGACCTCAATCAAAAACTTGATAGTCTCCACAACCCCATACTGATAATTACCATGTGCTCACTAGGGACTAGCTCCGTGAGGGAATTCTCGGAGTTCTAGTGAAAAGCTGTGACCAGTGAAGCTAATCTATGTTAGGTAGAGACAGGTATCTACAGTACGATAGAAGATGGTCATGTAATTTAATGGGTTAGTTGACGTTAGACATTAACACCATTGGTCTAGAAGTTAAACGTTCGTGCGCGAGACCAAAGTTCTTGGGTCCGAATCCTGCGTGTGCGATCGTGGATACGCACTGCTTACCAGTCCAGTTTTTCTAGGTTTCAATAGTGGCTTAACATCAATCGATTCATGATCTCAATCAAAAATATAGTTGACAGTTATACTTTACACTATGTAAATATATCATTCAGAGTTTTAATAATAAATTTTTAAGTTATTTACTATTAATCAGATAACATCTGATTTTCCTGAAGACTAGATTATTTATTTTAATAGCAATTCATTTTAGAAGAATAGTTTAAAGAACTTTATGTTGAAAATGAAAACATCCCCACTAAAAAATATTAGTGATGAAATGAGGTTTAGTATTATTATGTATTGTTTAGTTGGAAAGCTAGAAAGAGTACACTATATTCTCTATATATTTTGCATGAAAGCTTAAGTAGTTATTGTTGCTGGCAAATTAAATCATAATTAAATAAAGGCAGCCAAGTACCTTCACAAAATCAACAATTACATCATAACTTTTTTTCTGTAAAAAAAGGAAACTATCAAACGAACTGACACATTTCAATCAAGAAAAATGATGAAGAGTCAGTGCAAGTAATTTATGATTTACTAAAAATGTTTTGCAATTCATTCAGGGTAAATCAGAAATTTGGTAACTATAAAATACTACTGTTTTAAAGCTGACTAAAGTCGTATTTGTTTAAATATAACTTTTCCAGAAACTATACATAAGCATAATCGAATGCCCATAAACAGATGTGAAGAAGCAAGTATAGGTGCCATGTTGTTCATATTTTTCCGTCTATAATATTAAAGTTCTACATTCTATTTGTTAAAAAAATTTTGTGAAGATAAAAGTCAATGACCAACCTTCATACAATCATGTTTCTTTTTATTTATATTTATTTTAGCATTGATTATAACAGGATCTCGATTTTGTCAAAAACCAATTGCTATACGTGCCAGCTATTCAATAGCCTGTTTTCTTCAATGGATTAAACTCTTTTTAAATATTTGTTTTTGTTATCCTGTCAAGTCGATAAATACTAAAACACCAGTGAGGTAAGATGATGAATAACAGTGCATTTTTGAAACATTCGATTCCGTAACTTTTCTTCACTTAATAATATGATGCAAATATAATCAAAATAGACTGCATATCAATTCAAAACTTCTATAACAGCTTACTGATAGTAAATATTTTCAATAAATAAACAAAACTCCCTGTATCCTGTACAATCGGTAAAGTATCCAAATGACAAATTAATCAATAAATGAATACGTTCCTTCTCAATCTGTCTTATTAAAACGTAGAATCGTTTTCTGAACCTCACCCTTATTGTTTATTTCAATAAAAAATATTCATAATGTATGTCAAATAGATAAAAATTAAAGTCATTCCACTTTAATATCGAATCTGTCAAAACTTTAATATTTCTCGTGTATATTCAAACAGTTCTCAAGCTATTTCCTTAAAAAAGCTTGAACCAGATTGCCAGGTGAAACGTTGAATTTACTTCAAATTCTCTCACTGAGATTTCACAAATACATTCTTCCTCATTTAAGTTCTCAAGCCATTTAATATAAGCAACTTAAGAGTTCTATTTTCTTAAAGCATATTTACTGCTACTTTATATTCATGAACATCTCAACAATATATATATATATATATGCTTCCATATCACGAAATCGCTATAAACTGACCTGATAGAGTTTTCAGTTTTTCCCCAGTAGAAAAGATCATGCTTAAATGTAACTAAATAAAAATAATACACTGTTATTATCGTGTAGTTATACTAGTTGACATTGTTCAAGCAAACATACAAATTCCCCACTGTACAATATGATGTTTGTATTAGGGAGAACAAGCAAGATACTTAATTTTTTTGTTTACTAAAAAAATCTGTTTCTAAGTTGAAAAGGTGTTAGTGCGTTTAGTTTTTTCTAACCAATCACAATTTCACAAGATCAAACCACGTCAGTTTTTCTTTTTTTTGTTAGAAACAAAAAAATGTAAAGCACTTTCTTACAAATTTAAACTGTCAAAAAAGGAATTAAATTATTATTTGAAGAGTAAAATTATCTTCAAGTATCAAATCTCTTGAGAGAAATCAAAGTTAATCAATCGTTATCAATTATGAAATAAAAACTTAATTTTTCTTTACTGATTCAGACAAAACTCTCTTCTCAGTTTTTTTTCTTTTTTCATTTTGTTGTTGTTGTTGGTTGATTCATAGTCATTAGGTTACAATTAACTTGAGTAAAATTTCCTTCTGGCTATGAGTTTTAATTGTGTAATCAATCAAACATTGTTCTGTATAAAATATGATTTGTAATATTCATTGATTCCAAGTAAAACAAAAAAAGAAAAACACTATGTGATTCGTTAAAAATTGAAACGAAATACGAGATGTTTATGTCAATTTGTCATTTGGTATTTAAGAAATGTCAGATAATTTGTATAGACATCGTTTGATTGATAAGCACTAAGATCTATCATAAATATGAAGAGATTAATTGTTAACAAATTTAAGACTGTTGTGATAAACAATGCTTCAGGATTATAGTAGGCTAATTTGTTCATTCAGATAATAATTCAATAGGGGTAAATTAAACCTTTTTGTAAAATTTGTAATACTATGAATGTGGTTTTAAGCATTGCGATCCAAAGAATACGTTAAAACTTGGTGAAAGTTAAACGTACTTCTCAAGTTATACAAAGTATCATTTAAAACTAACACTGAGAACTTTAATGTATAAGTTTCGATTTGCTTAGTTCTATATAATCTGGATAATCAACCAACAGCTGTAGCACATTGTATGGAATGTCACTGGAGTTTTTTAACCAGTTGAGCTAATTGAGCTTTATAATGCACGGATAATCGGTCATGACAAGCTTAAAATAGGTAAAAAAAGTAAGTGGCTCAGGAGTTTTACCAGTTGGGATCATCGTGATTGTAGGTATCCTACGTTGCACAAAAGCTAGGTCAAGGGCTTTCTACCAAATGTTCTTAATCAGCTCAAATAACCGACTGATCACTACATTATGTTTAACACTTTCAGATTTACGTTTATTATTTTTTTAGTGAATTAGTATGTTCCAAATTTTATCCAACTGATTTTGTTTATATTGTTTATATTAGACTTATTGTTGTATATCATCGGATATGCCCGTCTTCAACAACAAATATAGCATTATTCTCATTAGTTGAAAAAATGTGGTTTGGTTTAGTTCGACATTATGGACAAATTTTAATCAGACTCCAGAGGGCTGGAAAACCTTCCGGTAAGTATTCTATTGAATTTTCTTTATTAATTAGCTCTTGAAGAAAAGTACAAATTGACCTATAGAAACTAGAACTGAGTCTTTTCAGATAAAGCTCTGAAATTTTTTGAACAAAATACGAAATGGTTTAATATTCCAGTTAGCTACTAAAATGAATATGATTTTGAGTATAAACGATAAGACTAACAAATATATCAAGTTAAATAACATTTGATAGATTTGATAATCACTGAAACAAGAATTAGTAGAACTCAATCAACTTTCATATGAACATAATAGAAAATTAAATGATCAAACCATTTGATTAACCTAGTCAAATGTTTGTATAATACATCGAATTGAACAGTAGTAGTAGTGTTAGAAAATATATCCAATTATGTCGGAAGTCTTGATCATTGTCTAAATGAAATTTGGATTTCAACAACATAGTCTGTTTTCGTGATAACAATTACAAGAATTTAAAAAAAGTTTTAAATGTTAAAGTGAATTAGAGTTGAACTTTGTTTCTGTATATGGAATTAATAATCTTGATTGAAAATGTAATCAATATATTTTAAGGGCCTGGCCCTCCTATCTCACACGCAACAACAAATGCAGGAGAAGACGACTAGTGTGGCAGCAGCCTCGACAGCAATGGGTTTCAATATACACAAATGGAAAAGCAAGATTCTCCGATACAACACAACATGCACAAATCAAATCACATTTGACGGAGATTTAGAAGATGTACAAACCTTTACATATCTGGCATCATCATTAATGAACACGGTGGACCTGATGCAGATGTGAAAGCGCGAATCGGCAAAGCAAGAGAAGCATATTTACAACTGAAGGACATCTGGGACCAAAAACAACTGTTAACCAACACCAAGGTCAGAATTTTAAATACAAATGTCTAAACATTTCTACTGTATGGGGCGGAAACCTGGAGAACTACGAAAGCCATCATCCAGAAGATACAAGTGTTTACTAACAGTTGTCTACGCAAAATATTTGGAGTTTGTTGACCAGATACTACTATGGGAGAGAACAAACCAGATCCCAGCGGAGGAAGAAATTAGGAAGACGGGCTGGAAGTTGATAAAACACTTATTGAGGAAATCACCCAACTGCGTCGCATGGCGAACACTCACTTGAAATCCTCAAGGCTAAAGGAGGAGAGGAAGACCAAAGAAAACAACGTCGGGAAATGAAGGTAGACATGAGAACAAAATTTGGACAGAACTGGAAAGAATTGTTCAACGACAGTGTGGGTGGAGATTGTTGGTCGTTGATCTATGCTCCATTGAGAGTATCAGGCGTAAGTAGGCAAGTAAGTATTATTTTAAGGGCAACAAATGAATTTTCGTCATGAAAAGTTATTATGTTTCTGTTAGTCATAAGGTAATGAACTGTTTTATTATTTCATAGTTAAATTCGGCGAAATTAGATCAAAACTTACAGAATGTATTCAATTTCTTCTTTATTCAACATCAAAGTTACTGATATTATGCATTAACTAGACGACTTTAGTTAATGTTCACCGAATTGTCTTTTTCATGTATTTTTTTATTTTCGTAGAAAACAAATACATTAGTTGTTTTTCATAATATTCCCTGTGAATATAATTGATTATCATTTGATTATAACAAATCTAATGATGATTTCTAGAATTCTAATGAGATAATTTCATTATTCAGATAAATTTTCTTCTTAGAAGTTTATTTGCTTTGAAGTATACACACCATTCAATTTCTTAACCATATCATGTACTCAAAACCCTCCATGACACTCAGTATTTATCTATGTGGCTTGTGAAAAAACGTTTTTGTGTCTAAATATAACATAATTGTTATTCGTTTAGTACACTATGAGCATTACAACTGGGTAGACAAAGCATCACATATTTGATATAACATCATTGATAATATCTTTTCCCTTTTACTTGGCAAAGTTATAAGAAACGGATTGTAGAAACGTGATCTACATCCAAAAACGTCATCAATGCCACTATGTTACACTATACTCAACTATAGGGGGTGGGTATCGTATTCCTAATAATTATCGTTTACACGAGATACGTAGTGTAAACATTTACTACTCACCTTCATCTTTATTTCCTCACTCTTATAAAAAAATGTCCTTAATTCGGCTTCTAGACTATTATCACAGCAGATAAATCTCTCTTGTTGTTTACATTTACCTAACTTCACTTGAATGATAATAACTTGCTAATTAAAAATATATTCTCCCTTCCAATTTTTTGTAACCTTTCTACCGTAATAGAAACAGATATTATCCAGGAAGAAATTAAAGTGCAAAAAACTATAAATTCTGCGTTTAGCTTCCACAGTTCACAAATAAAGTTTTCATGATTACAATATGGATTTCGAACATTTCAATTAACAAAAACTACGAACTATATGCTTTAACAATAATAATGCTAGAAATATTTTAATAAATTTGTTTGTATAATTTATATTTCAACATTTGAATTCATAATTCGATCAAAGCTAGCCCATCATTGTGAACCTGGAAACACTGGACTACCGTTTCGTTTCAGTATGAGACTCCTCAACAGTAGGCATACACGATCCTACGCCCTCATTGCTGAGATGTCCTATGCTGGAAAGAAACGGTCTTTCAATATTTCCAGGTTTTCAGTGATGGTCTAGCTTAGTCATAAATTCAACTGTTAAACTTTCTACATTCTTTATAAATGCTCATTGTGATAATTTATACTTCTCTCTTTTTTTATTTTTATAATTTATAATAGGAAATCCAAATATTAAATATAAACGTGTATGCTGTTTACCTGCATTTATTGTCATGATTGCGTTTTGGATTGCATTCCTTATCTCTACTAGTATCATGCGTTTATACTCAGGTCAATTAACTAAATTACTTGGACATGGTGGTTTACTTTCATTATTTGTTATTATGAGTTCAATTATGTTTCTTAGTTTTTTTGGATCATTACCATCATTATTAAGAATATTTAAAGGTTTATTAATGAATCCAATTACACCTGTAAAAACTGCATTAACATCATTTTTACAAACTAATAATGATATAGATAAAGAATTTTTTAATACTAAATCTATTGGAAAAATTAATGAAACTGTATTATATTCTAGTTCAACATCATTTAAAGATTTAGCTATAACAGCTGAAGAACAAAGAGCATGTAAAGCAGATTTATTTATTAAATCAGAATTTGCTAAAATTTGTAATTTATCAGTTACATTTGATCGTTTTAATAATACACAACAAACTAGATTCATTTTATGCTTAGATGCTAGTAGTACAATACAAAAAGATTTATTAGCAAAATTAATATATCAAATACATAATTTATTATTATCTGTTATGAGTGCACCAGTTTCTATTGTACTAGAGGCAAATTTTAAAGTAAGTCTTAAAATTTTTTTTTTGTATTTTTTTTTATATATTCTATATGTTTATAATGCCAAAAGCTGTTTTAATATATTGCGATTACATAATTTTGTTTGATTACATGAATTGTAGACGTAAAGCTTACGGCAATTTAGATTTTGTTTACTTATTTCAATAGTGTAATAAGAACATCATGATTATCAGAACTATGTGGTGTATACATATTCATATAATAATATCAAGAAAAAAAGATACTTATATGGTATCCTTTAGTAAATTGAGATAATATTGAATCTTGAATAGCTGTAAGATAAAATGAAAATCATGCTTCACTTTTATTATTATTATTATTCTATTATCATATTAAAATGGAGTATATGAATATATGAATAGGATTAGTAAGAATATGAATTCATAGGAAGTATATTTTTATCAATCTATTTCATAGTTTACACATTTACTAATATTAAATTGCACACATTCTGTATTTAACACTTTCTTTTTCTTTATACAATAGAGTATTAAATTAATTTAGTGTTGTAATTTGACTGCAGATTAGAAGGCAGCGAATTATCGATCGGACCAAAGGCTCGTAAAACACGTAAGAACGACCTAAAGTTCTGATTGGTCCCGCTTCTTGAATATCCCAACATGTAGTAATGCTATATATGTAAACTGATGGTTCATTTTGATGAGATTTTCGTATGAACTATTCAAAGAAAAAGGTATTAGGAACGATCAAATAACTGAAAACTTAGATTATTACTACTCAATTAATTGTGAAAATCAATTATTAATATAGACTTAGTGAGGCTTGATTAGTTCAACATTTTTTTTACATAGAATATTGAGTGCAAATGTAAACATAAAGATGTTTCATCATTTATTAAAACATATGATGTTTCATCGAGATCTTATGGTTTCCCCCTTGACCTTTTTTCAATATTCCCTTCATCATCATAAATGGATGGTTTATCTTAATTATATGCTAAAGGGTTTCCACTTCAAATTTGAGAAAACAATTTATTTTAAATTTATCACAAGCAATATGAAAACTTTATTTGCAGCTTGATGATGTTTATCAAACATATTAGTTGTCAAACATATAATGGCACATGTAGTAGGAAGTAGATGTTGATTAAGAATTTTAATGAAATTTATTTCACCCCTGAAATGAAGAACTCTTCATAATCTAGTCAATTTTGAGCAGGAACGTTAAAGGGCAAGAATGAGCAACCTTGTTTGATTACCGGTTCGCACTTGGAATACATTTGTGAACTGTTTATGTATAACATGGCAGTATAGTCTATCATATGTATTCCGTAGGATGTTGACGACCTTTATGCATACACCGTAGTGCTGAGGAAAATCCCATAATTTCCTTCTATTCGCTCTGTCAATTGCTTTCTCGTAGTCAAGGAAGTTGATGCATAGTGATGAGTTCCATTCAATTGATTGCTAGTAGTTTCGCGATCAATCACTACGGAATCCAGTGTGTTGATTTTGAATTTCGGCGTCCACTGAGTTTTCCATTCCGTTCAAGAACACTGTCTAAAACGTTTTCTGGTACTGACTGACGTGTTATCCTTCTATAGTTGTGATGACATATCCCTCTTTCTAATCTGCTGTTACTTATTCTTTGACCTAAATCTTTCTGAAGTGAGTATGGAGCATCTTTTGCAGTTAGCTCTAAGCTTGACTACGGTGCTTCAGCCGGTATGCTGTTTGGTCACGCTGCTTTCCTACTTTTCATTTTTTTGATGGCTATCCTGACTTCTTCAGTCGATAGTGAAGGGACATGTACAGGAAGGTCTGTATTTGCTGCTTTGATGTCCCGTGGGTTCACAGAAGCTAGTTTATTCAAGAGCTATTCAAAGTTCTCTACCAACTTTTTCCCCGTTCTTGAATCTCAGTGATTAGTTTGCTATTTTTGTCCTTAACTGGGTACTCTGGTTTACTATATATCCATACAAGATTCTTGGTTGTATCATATCGTCCTCTTGAATTTCCTTCTCTTGAAGATTTTTCTACTGTTGATGTCAGGACGTATACATATTTCTGTTTGTCAAATATAACGCTTCTCTTCACTCGCTTGTTTGCTTCTATGTATTTGACATGTGCCTTGATTTTCTTCTCTCCTTTTCGACTGCTATTGATTGGTGTCTTCTTATTCTTCGTTTTTTGAATGTTTCTGATGGTATTAGTAGAGATCCGCTCTTTATGTTGGTGATTTTTTGTGACTCAGGCTTTCTTGGCATGTTTGAGAAATTCTTCAATCCGTTTTCGTTTGTTTTTGATAGTAGTTTTAGCTTCTTTGAGTAGAACTGGTAGGACATAGAATTTGTTTGAACATGCTGAGTTAGTTAACACCTCGTAGGAGGACTATAATAAATTTTTGTAGTGTTGTTTTTCCATTTTTTTAAATGATTCTTTAGATTCAGTTTCATCTTGACCAGTGCCAGGTGGTATTCTCAATTCATATTAGCTCCTCTTATTGTTCTCACGTTTTTCATGAACCTTCTGAACATTTTTTGATGCAGTGTGTGATCCAGTGAAACTCATTTAATTGTATGTATGGGTCGGTGGGGAATTTGTTAACACCTATCAACAGTTTTTGAGAGCAAATACATCTGTATGTTTCCCGTTATTTTCGTTTGTTTCTCCCATGCCATGTTATCCCATGGTATCTTCAAAACCGGTGTTTTCAACTTCGACCTTAGCATATCAGTCTTTCATCATAGTGGTCAAGTCCTTTCGTTGAGGTTTCTCTACAATCCACAACATCCTCTTGTAAAACTGATGCTTATCGTCTTCATTTCCATCATTGATTGGTGCATAGATCTTGGTTTCATTCGTTATATTCCCTTCCTCTGAAGGACGTTTTGATTGTCCTGAATTATTAGGATTTCTATCCAATGAGCGATTTTTGGCTTCTTTGGAGAGCAATAGTGTAAACCCTTGTGTTTGAGCTATTCTCTTCTTTACAAATAGGATACGACAACACCTATCCCGCAGCTAATATTTTTGTCCAGCTTGTGTCCAATGAGTTTTAATTATTCCATGTATCTCCGGGTTGTATCTTCTCATTTATGCAACTAATTAAACGGTCGTCTAGGTCTCTCAAACCCTGGTGACTTTTTACGCTTCTATATTAATTGTTGCTCTGGTTGTTAGAAGGTTATTTATCTTACGTCCTGGAAAGATAACTGGGCAGACACAGGTGATACTTTATCACAAAATCGTATAAAAATCAATAGATTACGTAATATATTGCAGACTCAATTATCCCTTTTATTAAGTTTGACTCTCAATCTTAATGTTATCTTATTATTCTTTTTCATCCTAAATTCTTATTATAATTTTCCGTACTTCACTTTTTCTTTCATTATGTTCTCATTCTACACCCCCTTTCTACATTTCATGTAGAGTTCGATAAGCATATCTTCTAATTTATTTTTTTTAGGATGCTAACGGTAAACGATATACGGATATTTGATTTTCTAGGAGTACCATAAAATATCTCAATAATACACTTGTGAGACACACAGAATTGTAGTAAATAGGGAGAGTCGATTTAATCGACATATGTATAAGCTGATTTATTGCTTGGCAAGTTTTTAAGAATGATAATTCTAAAAGACTGAAAACGAAGTTTAAATAATCATTCAAATATTTTTTAACCAACTACGTGTCGGTAACCAAGGCGTCTTGTAAAAACAAAGGAGGGAGATATTGGATTGATGAGGAGTTTTTGGGTTATCTAATTGCAATTACAGAAGTTTAAGTTATTTTGTTCTTATTTTAAATACAGCAACTTTTATACAACTGAAAGATCTGTTGTATATTTATATTTTAGCAGTTGTTCACTATCTGTTCAATAAAGAACATGACATTAAATTTAATAGTAGTTCATGATAACTATCACATACTATTATGGTGGAGTATTTTCAAGATAATTCCCATACTTTGTACATTACTCGTTCTGATAATCGTTATTAGATAACTATTCAACGTTGAACAAATTTCAGAAGGCAATATGATATGATATGATGGCAATAGTTTATCAACGTACAGCATAAATTAAAATACCATCAAGTACACGATGCAAACGTGACTAATTACGGATCTGAATGAGTTCAAATGAATGAGATTTTAGAGGCATTTATTTATATATATATGTTGAGTGATTTAATTAGCTAACATATAAGTTAGTAAGGGGAACATATGTATACACTTAAATACATGATCACTTATTCGTGATCAATAATACAAAGATATAAATAAATTTCTACCGACCTAATGACATTGTCTATTAAATAACTTAATTAAAGCGCTTAATAATTTATGCATATACAAATTCAAGTATAGGTGAGAATTTTATATTTATGTAATACATATAAATTTCAATTGATTTACCAGTTAGTTATCTGATAGGCAAAAGTAACTATACACATATCAACTTTTAACTAATCCTTACTTATATGTAGTTATATTATACAAATATCCGTTTAATTAATCATCATTCTCATTCAATTTCCTACTTTCTTCTCTCCTCTTTTTCTAATCAATTTCTTAGCAACTCAATCTTATTAAATGAATTATTTATTAAAATAAATTCATATACATGTTTTAATTAAATTTAGACATTCATAATTATGTTTCCAAATTTTCTTCTATTCTATTGAATATTGATTTTTTTTCTTTCATTGAAGAATCAATTCTTTTACTTCATGAATTGTTTTATTATTATTATGATTTTCTATTCAAAAACGAACGACAAAATAAACGATTGGAATTTCAATTAAATTTTTACCTACAGTATATTCACACATTTGTCGCTTTACATGACCTTTTTATCATTCCTTTATTATAGATTGATTCATTTCAGGGAGAAAAAGTTTGTTTTTTTTCCTGGGAAAAAAAATAATCAATTAGTGAAATTGTTTTACCTTTTTTTGAAAAAAAAATTTTTATTTTGAACGATGACTGAATTAAAATGATAACGACAATGAAGG